CCCAACCCCTCAGAGCTAACCCTTGGCTTCCGGGATGTGGTTTCTGGCCGCCAAGTCAGTCTCATCTTTGGATCCTCTGGCCAGTCCTCCTGCTCGGCCTCTCTCCGCAGAGCTGGGCTCTGAATCTTGCCAGACACCTCCATAGCTACTGCTGATACTCTTGCTCCCCGCTGGGCTGTCATCGTCCATAGCAGCCAGGGCTGGGCCTTTCAGAGCCTTGAGGAACTTCCCTTCATCATAGTGGGCCTTGCGGTGCTTCTCAAAATCACTGGAGTCTGTGAACCAGTGCGAGAGCTTGGCTTTCCTGCCAACTCTTACCAAAGGCTGACTCTACCTTCCCTTCCCATAGAACCCCCACCCCTTAACTCACGTGGCTTGGACGTTTTTTCTGGAGACCCTGGGCTTCTGTTAACACCATACTGGAGAATTTTGGGGCAGAAATTGTCCATTTTTGTGAACCTGAAGAGGAGGGAGACTAGATGGGGCCACACAGAAGGGAGAGATGGTGGACAAACTCATTGGAACCCCCCCCCACCCCATGGGCCTTTTGTCAGGCCTGATGGGAGTTGTAGTACTTCCCATTTTGGAGCCACAAGGCAAAGCTGGCTCTGATTCCAGTGTTAAGGGGTAGAGGGATAAGAGACTGCATAGGCCTAACTGATCTATGGATTTCTCACCTCTTTGCCAGTGCCTCAGGAGTTACCATGTGGGAAGACCGGGGGGACATGTCCTCTTCAGGGTCCTGCGGCCTGCAGAAGAGGGAGGAGCCATTGCAGGGAAGTAAGTGGGTGTCAGGGTGGCCAGTCCTTGAGGCCTTTTTGTTTCCGGCCTCCTTCCCACCCCCTGCTTCCCGGAGGAAAAGCTAGGGCTGAGGACTCAGCACCTGTGAAAGGGGGTGCTGGGTTCATCCACCTTCATAAGCCCATAGTCTTTGCCAATAGGGTGGTAGGTGGCCAGGATGTTCATCTCATCCCAGTGCTGAGACTTTTTCCTGGTCAGGGGTGAAAGCAATGAGGATGGGGGTGTGGAGGAGGGCACAACAAAGGAGGAGAAAATACCCCAGGGATCCCCTCCTCACAGTCCTCCCTCATTCTTTTATTCAAAAAGCCCCTTGTGGTTTTAGCCATGATGTGGGAAGAAGCACCGAGGATGGAGGGTGGGGATCAGACCCAATGGTGGACACCCACGTAACAAAGGTTAACTGGCCCCTGCTATTCTCCCCAAAGGCACAGGACCTCAAATTTTCCATCCAATTGCCCTTCTCCTACTCTCATTTCTGGGTCTCAATTCTCCACCCCTTCCCTACTGGTTCCACCCTCTCCGGTGTCCAGAACCGGGGTTCTCTGGGTTCCAGACTGCACGTCAGCCGTCCTGTGTCCCTTACTTCTCCACACTGGGGGATTTCTGCATCATGATGGAGCTATTGTTTTTGAGAATGCTCCGTGGCGGATCCTCATAGGCGTTGTAGGAATTCGGGCAAGTTATCCCGGAATTCGGATTGCATGCCAAGCTGTACACCCCAGCGCCCTTGGACCAGGGACTGGGTGCTCCGGATATGTTGGTTCCGGGGCCAGGAATTTTGAATCCATCAGGGTATGGGCTGGACCCAAGACTGTGGCCCGCCACCCCTCCAGGTTGCTGGTTGGGCCCTGGACCAAGGACTACGACCCCTCCGGGAGGCCGGCTGGAACCAGGACTGGGAATGACTGCCCACGGATGCAGGGAGAGCCCAGAACCTTGAAACAAGACTACGCCGGAGGGCAACACAGCTCCTGACTCCGCCTCCTTGTTCCCTCGGGGCAATCCCCTGGTTGCTCCTCCGGGGGATTCCCGGCGGGGGCCGCGAGCAGCCCTGGGAGACTCCTGCGTCTCCATGGCCCCACCCGGGGGCCACTCCCCGCTACCCGACCCCGCCCCACATAGCCCCTCCCCCAAGACCCTGCCCTCACCGGGATGTGGGGGAGGGGTGCTTAAACACAGGTTCCGCTCCGCCCCTCCTTCGCTCCCCGCATCCACTGTGCTTGTCACCAAGACCCTGGATTTAGACCTCAGACTGGAAGCATCTCTGTTCACCCCTCCCTTCCTCTTCTACCCCAAACCCTTCTTTGTCTCTGAGATTTGTTCCCGCCCTTCTTCCCCATCACTGCCCACCTCGGAATCGGCCAATCCTAGCTAGCGGGTCTTGCCAGGGAAGGGAGAAAGCCTTAGTTGTGACGTCACAGTCCCGGAGCCTCATTGGAGACTTGGGTTGGGGACTTGCGAGCGTGTCTGGAGGATTTCGCGGGGGATTTTGCTCTCAACTGTCTGCCGGAGTCCCTTTGGACTCCTAATGTGCAGCTTCAAATCTAAGATTTTGGTTGAACTGGTTTACAACACCCGTGAGCTTTTGATTTCTTTCCAAAAACTCTGCCTCTGACCAGAGGTATGAGGCAAAGTGAAGGGATTGCGACAGTGCCGGAAGCCAT